AAGAGAATGATGAGAGCACAGTGAATGCTGGTAAACCCAGGTCGAGGGCAGACGGATCACAGGAATCGAAGAGTGTTCTGACACTCGATGAGCATTGTGAGGTAGGAGAATTGAACGAGGTGGACAGGAGATCGTATCCCAACTGCAAGAGCGTCTGTTAAAGAATAATAGTAGTAAGGAAAATACAAAATTGGTAAAGAAATCAAGATGAGAAAAATTGTGGAGAAAATATAATCAAATAACGATAAAAACATAATATAAATTAGTGTATAGAATATATAAGTGATTCGTCATTAAGCTGAATTTTACTTCGTGTGGATGTGTGTGATGAATAGGATCGTAGTTTGATCTCACCCGAAGACGTAATCCTGGAAATTGCGGCATCAAGTACACTTCATAAAAATCAAACTATCGCAGACCCAGGGGAACTAACCGCTGTCTTTCGATGATATCGATCTATAACTCACTTGTTCATACACTCACATGAGAATAAAGTCGGCTCAACAATGGAAGACCTGTTGAAACTCAGTTACATTTCCCACACAAAAAGATAATCAAATTAAGAAAACTATAAATTGTACTGTACGGCAATATTGCCAAGGTGCAAAATCTCAATTTTGGGTTAGTAAGTACTTTCAAAGTAGGATCATTTTAAGAAAAACTAAATGCATTTAAGTATTAAGCCGAATTGACCCATTTTCACCAGATGATGAATCCCGATGCTGGTTTTTTGGAGATTTGAAGACGACATATGAATCACAAACAAACTGGAGCAACAATATAAAGCGACTGGGGTTGAGATAAATTTCGACTAGACACTTTTAATCAAAGATATGAAGACCAAGATGGTGTGGTCCCCGGTATGGTCGCAGTATAATTTTGATTTATGAAAGTAGGTTGGCCTCGCTGTCGCAACTTGGTCTTGTTGTCAGGGCGACTTAGTAGAACTCACCTAGTCCGAAGTCCTCTGCCATAGTAGTTATTATAATTCCCAGCATCAGACAATGGACCTGGCAATTCTCAAACGTTTCGCCGACATCGTAGTCGGCATCATCAGTGAGTGATGCCATTCTCCGCACCAAGCTAGGAACTCGTCAAAGAGACAAGGGAAGCAAACCCTTCCACCAACGTTTTGCCGAAAATGGTTACATAATCACTCCTCTTTCTGTCCTGGCCTATCTATTTACTCTATTTATATTTTGACGAATGTAATGTAAACAAGTGAGAAGTTGTGATAGGGCTGGTGGGATTTATGCTAACTACTATGGCAAAGGACTTCGGACTAGATGCGTTCTACTATGTCTCCAGGACAACAAGACCAGGTTGCGACACCGAGGTCAACAGAGTTCTAAGACACTTTTAAGTTGCTAATAATTATAGATAAATGTTGCTTTTGATCATTTTATGAAAGCACTATGAACACACTCTTATACTAAAGATAAGAATAATTAGATATTTAGAAAAATTGTGTATCGATAAATTAACCGAAACTTCTTGTTTTGCAATGAGAACTTTCCAATATATTGCAAACTTTTCTTATAGGAAAGCCTTCATATCACCAAAAATGCCAGTTCAAAAAAAATTTGAGTTAGAGAGATTAGCAAATTTGTCTAATTATAAATTAAAGGCAGAGTTCCTGAAAGTTCTGATTTCAATGTCTTTTGAACAATTCCCTGTATCATTTTTCTGTGATTTCGAGCTTCCGTGTTAAGCTTTCGCCTTTTACTGACATGGTCGACGTAAAATAACTCCGACGAAATTCATCCAATATTGGGGCAAAAATAAGGGAAGGCTAAAATCCTACCTATTCCTAAAAGGAGCTAAGCAAGCTCTGATACAAATTATGGAGAGATAACACAAGGAATAAGCTGATTTTAGCTTCCATTATTAGACATATTAACCTATCCATGAGTAACACATATTTTATCATCGATGGTAAGTTATACGAACAAAGACAAGGAATAGTGATGGGATCTTGCTTGGCTACCATCTTGGCTAACAATTATGCGGCAAGACTGGAGAAACACTTCCTGCAAGAGGCAATACTAATCCCAAAATTGTTGGTTAGATACATAGATAACTATTTTGTCACCTAGCCTCATTGTAAGGGAAGTTTAGATAGTTTTCTACTTTCAATCAACCAGCGTAAAAGAAACATTAGGTTTACAATGGAAATTAAAGAGAATAGGTGTGTGTGTGTGTTAGCGTTTATACTCAATATCGGTCCTAAATCAGAGTTATAAAAAGGCTAATGTCAGGCTCTGATCATCAAGGCCTAATGACACAAGTCCTGACTGCGTAAGTTCGTAAGCAACTATGGTTGAGATAATGATATATGAGCTTGTGTAAGCATGTAATTCAAGTTATGAAACCACTTGTCCTAACCTCTCAGTCTAGGATCATTGGCGTTTAACCCCTCAAGTAAAGACATGATTGAGACTGCGTAATCTGCCACGTCGGGTTTGGTTGATGAGCTTAATCTAACAAGTTGGATGAATGTGAATGAAGTTAGAACCATCACCGAGCAGTAAAATTTAGCCACATTCTCTTGGAAGGTGACCCTCTCTCTCCTTAATTTTATTAATCAAGCATAAGTAGTTCCTACTCAATTTTCTATCACTGTTTCTCACATTCAACGTATTTTCTAAGCTATTAATTTCAATAGTCTCTCTTATCTTTCTTCTAACCACATACGCATCATAATAAGCAAATTTATTAACTCGAGACCATTTAATTTAATGTCCAGTTTCTATCATACGTTCGGCCACTTCTGACAGTTGGACCCAGCTTCCTTTACAAGCATTTTTTTGTTCTCCCAATCTTTGTCGAATAGGTCGGCATGTCTCACCAACACAACATCGACCACCACCTTAGTCTTGTAACTATGGTTGGAAATAAAATAAAGCAAAGAGCGATATGCTAAAGGAAATGCATAAAAATGGAGAAATCGATAGAAGGATCAACTTAATAATTAAAAATGGCGCAAGACTATCAACAGCATAGGGACTACTGAAGATACACAAGTAAGGAAAACACCTAAGATTAAGAGCTAACAACAAGCATGGACAACAAACAAGACAGTGAAATTAATTTGCTTAAGGATCAGGAAAGTAAATGACAGATTCTTGAATGCAGTAAAGAATTAATATGAATTTTCTCGAATGATCCACAACATTAGGCTGCTGCGAGGGAAAGTGTTGGTAAATTTTGACGTACAATCCATGTTTACAAACATCTCAGGCGATAAAACGGTGAGCGCCCTGCAAGAGACCTTGAAGAGGATAGTCAGAGCGGATATGGAAGGAGTTGTTAACACGACTGATCAACCTTGCAGTAAAGACCAGCTATTTTACATTCAACGGCAAAATCTATGAGGAAATATTTGGACTACCCATGAGATCTTCTACTCTTACCTCTTTTGGAAAAAGTATACATGGATAAATTGTATAAGGAATTCGAGAAGTCATCGCTGTAACCAAGAATGCTTGCGCGATACCTGGATGAATACTTTGCACATTGGTCTCATGGTAAGGAAAATGTTTATGAATCAAGCTTTATGAAGCATAGTGATAAACGAATTAAATTAATAATGGAGGTGGTTGAGAATGAGCAGGTAACTTTTCCTGGTTATTGAGGTAATTCGCTCCAAAGAGATACATATTCAAGAGGGAACTATTCACAGGAAGGAATAACATGGGAAAATAAACATAAATTTCCAGTCTTATCACAATTACAGACTAAGGATTGGTCAGAAGCATAAGAATAACAGACATAGAATTCTGGGACTAAGAGTTTGAAAAACGGACTCGGATTTTTCTCAGTAACATGTAACCCACTGAATTGCTGGAAAAAAGTTAGTGGTTATGATGAGCATATTTCAGCTTGAATATTATGAAAATAAAATCGGGAATCGGGAGGAAGACATAAAGTGGATATGCCTTCTTGCTTATCAAAAATTGCGGCCAGTACTGAGAAAATGGAATATCAAGGTGAAGAAAAAGCAAATAACCATACTCTTCACCAACCTG